GCATTGGGTGAGCCTCCGTGGTCTTCAGTGCTGCTCCAGAGAACTGTCCTGCAGGAACCTGTCTGCAGCAATGTAGCACTGATCAGATGCTTTCTGAATGTCTCAAGATGGTCACAAACCTAAAACAATAAATGCACAAATTTAATTCAATATGAAAATGGCTACAAGTGAGCTTTCTAATATTTATTTAATATATGTGTGGACCTGTGATGGACTTGCGACCTGTCCAGGGTGTACCCCGCCCCTCGCACTGTGACTGCTGGATATGGGCACCAGTGACCCACGCAACCCTGAAAAGGAAGAAGCGTGTACAGAAAATGGATGGATGGATGGATAGCAGAAAAAAGCACAAAAAAGTAGAAAAAGGCAGAAGAATAGCAGAAACTAGCTGAATTTTAGCTGAAATAGCAGAAAATAGCTAAAATTAGCAAAAATGTAGCAAAAAATTAAGACAGGGAAGTTAACAAGAGCAGTACCAGAACAAAAGGTGTAAGGATCTGTAAAGATTTAGAAACATTTTAAAGGATTTTAAGGATGTTGAAAACACCTCCATTCATTTTCAATGGCAAAAAGTGGCTAAAAAAGTGAAATAGCTGAAAAAGTAAAAATAGCAGAAATACCAAAAGTCATAGCCGGATTGTCATAAATGAGCTGAATGTTTTGATATATGAAATGTTGAAATAGATCAAAAATTGTGGAATGAGTTAGATGCAAAAATACATACAAAAGAAAAAATGATCTCAATAGTGTGAATGTTATGAATCCTTCACACAATTAAAAAAAACAGATTTTAAAAGTTTTAGTCAGTTGAGGAGGAAATGTATCTCTTTAAAATACAAAACAATAATAATTTCATGTCATCCCTGTTACTTTAAAGCCGTATCACATAACTATAAAATATTAAAAGTGTGGTTTTGCAGCATGTGACAGACCTGAAATGCGTCACATTAACATCCTGATTTCTCCTGATCAGTAAATGTAAGTGGAGATTTGGCAGGAACACAAGCAGACCCACACATGTCCTGTTTGCTGCTCACAGCTGGCTGAGTGGGAGACGTACGTGTTGCTTTGCATTTTGAACAGATATCAGAGAGATATCAGAGATCAGGGAACAAAGTGTCCACCTGAGACGGACTCGGAGACACGTACGGACATCGATTTAAGCTGACGAACTTCAAACTGTCCCCTTGAGATTGACTTACACAACAAGCCTGTTTGATGGTGTGAAATGTGCCAAAGAGTCAATCTGGACTTGATATCATTTCATCTTTGTCTCATTGTTGTGCGCATAAATTAACAAGCCGGTACGTTCATGCACCCTCATCTCCTACAACTGTAGGAAGTCATGCGGCGGGTTCCTGGTGAGTCACTGCTTGTGCTGTCAGATACAGAATCCCATCACTAAAGGCTGGAAATCCATGACTAATCCTATGCTGCACCATCAGATAGAGCTAAAATACGTAACAGAGGAGCAAATATACTTGATTTTAGTTGATGCAGAGGTTTGTCCATTGTGATCACTTCTAATGTACAGATTGACTCCTACCTTCAGCACAAACACACACAACAAAAAGCTGATCCRTCTCACCAGTTGCCAATGAAGCGAGGGTCGCTCTGGTCAATGTTGACGACAGTTTTGGGGTCRACGTAGAAGCCGATGAGGACTCCTCCCAGCAGGTAACCAGCTGCTGGGCCCAGCGCTCCCATCACGTACATGATCGCTGGAACAGAAATTAATCGTTTCAAAAAATAAGTTATCTTTGTTAGAGCCACAAGTGAGAATAAACACATAAAACACATAATTGTAGCTTTGTAAAAGACATTTTTTATTATTTCCATTATTAACTCAGACAAACTATTGAATGTCAGCGGTTAGATATTAAAGGGCCTGTGACATGCCTATCCTTCAAATACAAAAAGTCAAAGAAAACATTTATATTTAAGAAAATTAGCATAATACACATGATTTTACCCATATTGTCTCATAACTGGCAAAATTTCTCTTGATTTGGTTCAGCAAAATGAAACAGGAAGTGACTGACATCAAAGGGGAACTCTTTAAGAAAAGAAACTCTCTAGTCTTTGTTTATTGAAACAATCTTATTTAAACTCTTCTTCAACTCTGATAGTGACTCAAAATATTCTAAAGAAACATCAGATTTTTCTCTAATTATTGTAGCATCGCTCTGTTTACATGCAGACATTCCCCTTTGACATCACTTCCTGTTTCTTCACATGCAAATATCTCAACAACTGTTCATCTCAGTGGTGTGAAATTTGTTTTACAATATGTAATCAATGTTCTCTTTCCAAGAACACATCCACATTTATTACAAAAATTTGATGTCACAGGCCCTTTAAACTTATCTCACCAACTAGTGTCTGTATGGATTATTTTAGCTGTTTGGTGGTGTGGGTTTAAGGCTAAAGAGTTATTATTTTAGTTAGAAGAGCTCAATAAAAGTTTTATTGTCTTGTACGACTTTAAAATAGAAATTATGTTTCAGCACTTTTGGTTTCTTAAAAATTCACTCCATAAATCACTTCTATTTTTCCATTTTCCTCCACAAATTAAAAGCAACAAGAACATTTTTCATGAGGACAGAAAAAGTTTCTAAAGCTCAACCTCTTGTGTCACAATAACTAGAATTATTCCTCTACATTCTTTGCATCCTACACACATCATTTATCTACAAACAACCACAATAAATCATCTTTTATATCAACGTATCTAACTGTTCAAACTCGGTGACATTCAGCTTAGGCTTGGACCTTAAATAACACTTTAAACCACAACTATTCAAACAATAGGAGCAGTGCACAAAAGGCCGTGTGTGCTCGTTTGTGAGGATCATATGACCGAGCAATAAGAGCCCTGCTTTAGACTGGGAGTAAGATTTCTCCAATTAGAGGGAATTAACATGGTTTAATCCTTGGCTCGGGTTGAAAGCAAACACAAAAATGCCATGGCGTGACTCAAAACTCAAAGCTGGGCCCGGCACAGAACCAGGCCGGGACTTATCCGAGTTCAGGAGACTCGCTGGGAGCACCAGGTTTGTGTCAAGGACAAAGGCTCCACAGCAGATAACAACTATTTGAACGTTTGCTTTTATGTTTTATATTTTTATTTCTCTGTGACCRTTTTAGTTGACCAGTGGCTTCTTTCATTTTGTTCCATTTTATGTAAGAACTTCAAAGTTCTGATGTTTATTTTACACTGAGGGGGCCGTTAACACAAGAGGAATACTGTAAAAATAAAAAAATAAACTAATGTTTTTCCTCTCACACAAAAAACTGGGTCATCTTCAGCAGGTAGGCCTATAATTCCAATTATAATAATTAAGCTCATTAAATCAATCAAAAAACATTTTAAAGAAATTAATTAAAGAATAAAAGAGTGTCATTCAGTTTAATGTAGGTCTGTGGCAGCAGGTTGAGCCTGTTCAACTAGAGGTAACAGCTGTTTGCTTGTGGGGTGATGGAAAATGTTTAGCAAGCAAAATAAATAAAAATAAAACACCAGTCTGTGACTTTTATTACACCTGAAAAAATATATATAATTTTGTAATTGTAAACTTGAGCAAGTTGGAGTCTGAAAATATACTCTTAATATGATTATAACTAAACTGATCATTGGAAAATATCTGGAACAAATCTTTTAATTTCAAAGAATTTGTGTTATTTTAATTAAAATCAGACTCTTTTTCAGCCTAACTGCTGCTGTTTACATTAAGAACATCCTATTTATTATAATGTAGAAAACTACTCTGTTTACTTCTAAAATGAACAAAAATGTTAAAATATTTGTGTCACTTGAGCTAAAATACCACAGCAAATGTCCTGAGAGTGACCAAGAAACACGGTCACATTTTTCTCATTTCAGCTTCTATTTTAAATTCAATTTTCTCTCCTTATAAGACACAGAAAGACCAAGCTCCAGCAGACCTTACAGCTGTTCTAATGCCACACCAAACCTATTTATAATTTATAGTTTTTACAAGATGAATGATGGACAGGGCTTTCAACGTTTAGCTGCATTTATGGTTTCAGAAGCAGCAGCCCTGCTCAGGACAACTACAGGAGGAAGAGGAGTTTATGTAACAGAATGTACCGGACATGCCACACGTATCAGGTCTTAATGATAAAAAATGTGACAGGGAGAACAGCTTTATATCTCCCAAGGCTCCAAATCTTAACCAAAACATATTCCTGAAATCAGGAAGCAAATTGTTTTCTGATCCTCCAGCACCAAAGCTCAGGATGATAAAACATAGGGTCTGGACTGACAGCTTGGTCTTTTTCAAAAAGGCCTCAGCAGCGTCGTGGATAATCCCTCATCTGAGCAGAGGAGGGAGGACCCTCGACTGGCCAGAAACCGTGTAATGCAACGTGATGCAGGCCATCAGCGAGGGCTAAAACCCAACCAGGCTGCGGATCATCAGGACTGCTGAGGCAGAGAACACGAGACAAGCAGGAGGGCAGAAATGATTGATGCAGGAGAACATCATAAATACTGGAAACAAAGAAAAGACGGGGCGGCATGATGCAACGTTCCAACATGGATGGATCGTATGAAACTGAAACAGTGGCTCCAGCAGTTTCAGATCTTTATGCTTTTTAATGTTTCTACATAATTAAACACTGAAAACTAGATGTATAAAAGGAAACCATTCAAACTCCAGATTTATAAGCTGTTTTTTTAAGCTGTAAACTTCTCATTATTGCTGTAATCGCTTTCTAATTTAGAATAAAACTATTTAATTCTACTGATTTTGCTGATGATTGAAAAAGTAAATATTAAACTGTTTTACAAGGATAAGTACTTTTCAAGTACTTTTTTCTTTAGATATTTTTCATATCTATTGTGTAAATCTATTGAATGTTTTTATTGTGGTTAGCACTATAAGGACTGTTTAATTTCATTGCACTCCAGTATAATGACAATAAAAATTCTATTCAAAATGTGGATGTTTATCAGCTTTTTATTGTAAAATCCAACTAGAGTTTCCATTCTTTAAAATGATGGTACTTTTAGTTTTCTATTTGATGGTGAATACATGACTGTTGAGACAGCTTTGAAAACCTTACACTTTCTAAACAAAAACAATGTTTAGTTACGCAAACCATCTTTGTGGACATCTGTGAATCACACAACCCTGCTTGTGTGTTCCTGTGTAACCTTAAAAATAGTTTAATTTCTTTCGTTTTGAAAATGAGTCAAATAAACCTGTGGAGCCTGGATTTAGAGCTTCATTGCTGCAGTATTTTAAGCACAATTGCCTAATGTTTCATAAAAACTAAGTGAATGAAATGGTGCAAAACGATGACGATAAAAAGGCAGATGAAAAAAACTGAGTTGCAAAGAAAGAGACAGATGAAGTATTGGACGCGGGCCTGCTGCTGGTCAGGCAGCAGTGTTCGAGCTGACGGCAGGAAAACTTCTAACGGCAACAGATTTTCAGCCTCATCGTTCCTGTCCATCACTGCTCGGCACCGCGCTGAACGGACAGCCTGTTGCAGCTCGTCACTGCTGAGGTCTGGAATTTACCAACATGAAGCAGTAATCAAAATATTTAAGCAAAGAAACCGACTCGTTTCCCTTCAGCTCCTTTCAGGTCAATGACAGTAACAGAAGCATGACCTAAATATTACTCAAACTCATTTACTAGTACCAATACTGTACATGTTCACTCGTATGTAAGTAAGTAATAAGTAAGTAAAGTTTTATTTATATAGCGCCTTTCAAAGAAATAAATTCACAAGGTGCTGTACATTCAGGGAGGGGGCAGTTAAGAAACACCCATTCAAGAAGACATACAAGACAAACATGGGGGAACAGGTGAAACAGGTCATGCAGCAAACACAGTTGTGCTACCTTTAACAACAGAAAAACTAAAAACCACATAAGGGAAGATGAGGAAAAAAAACATAACAATGTGACACACTATGGCGTTTTAAAAAATGATATCATTTTGATATGATATTATGACATCAGAGCTGACAAACGTTTGCATTACTCATCAAATTTAGTAAAAATCTCAGCTAAGCAGGTTACTCTGTACTTTTTGAACGTCACTGCTGTAAATGTAATAAACAATGAGGTCATCATTCATTCTGAGAACTGGTCTTAGTAACAACATATACAGTAAATGTATCTAAAGTATCATTTCAGGCAGTTTCCTCACTGTTCTGTTGATTCTTTAAGAATCACAAGGTTCAGAGGTTTAACCTGTAAATCTTTCAGCATCACCACCTTATTTAAGCACATTTTGATTTAGAATAATGAAATCTGAATCATAATTGTTCTAACTAAAGTAACAAAGTGTACCCTTATGTTTCCTGTTATACAACAGGTAGATTCAGTGGAGCAGGCTGATCTGGTCAGATCTGGTTTGCTGTGTAGTGACTCATGTTTTGTAGAAAACCAGCTCCTGGAGCTGAACAGAATTATTCATCTTCTACACTTTACTCTGTGATAAAGGTCTTCACTCTCAGATGCAGAAAACCTTTTTGTACCAAAGACGCACCAATTAGAATTTCTCAGGCTAATTCATAATTAAACGGTCATATGTTGTTTTGTTTTAAAGTTTTAATCGTGTTCCCAATAAATTAGCAATAAATGATKTTTACTATAACAAACAGCTATTTTAATGGAAGTTGGTGCAAAAAGAAAACTAATTTTGAGCAGCAGAAGCTTTTTGCTTCTTCTGAAATAACGTTTGATTCCTCCACACCAATTAGAAACCTTCCACACAAAAACAAACCACCATCCAACCTGAGTTCAGCTAGCCAGAAACACCAACAAGCATTAATAATGAGAATAAATGGAGATCAGAGGTTTCTGTGACAGATCTGCAGCTCATGAGTGGAGTGGGAAATGTGCAGATTCCGGTTGCTCAACAGTTAATCCTTACATTCCTGCTTCCTGAAGGGATTAAATGTGTTTTATTATTGCTCTCGTGTTGCATCAACATGATAAATGGAAAAAAGGCTCCTTCAGCTGTTGCTGCTTCAAAATCTACATCTGTAGTCTGGATGTCTACAACATTAATGTCATGACTCTGAACTCACTCTGCCAGTGACACACACACACAGGTTCGCCCAGCTATACATTTGGGGACATTCTATTGACTTCCATTACATTTCTACAGCCTAAAGTGCTCGACACACGAAAGGCGACGTCGCTCGCTCTCCATTCATTTCCTATGGAAGTTGTGCGATGAGGCAACAATCGCTTGCCCTCCTCCAGCCAAGCGACCGGCGAAAATCGTGCATGTGAAATTTTGCGCTCGTACACGTGCACACGCGAGCTTGCGACGCAACATACGAAAGTTGAAAAATGTTCAACTTTTGTCGCTGTCGCTTAGCGTACAACCAATCACTGAGGGTTTCATTGACTGACCAATGAGAGGAGAGTATGCTACACACTGCAGTTAGCTAACACTTTCACCAAGTGATTACTAAAAAAGGCAGCTTTGTGGGAACTTGTTGGCACCAGGGTGAAGTTATCTGTTAAGTTTGTCTTTATAAAATTGTATCTTGTGTGCGTTTGTTTTTCAATATCATTAGCATCGCAAGATTTGTTTAGTTTACACGTCCGTAATGCACACCCCCTTTTTTTGTGAACCACCAATAACCTTTACAAAAGGCAGTAGAAGAACCAATCAAATTTCGTGAAGACAAGCGACCCGAGAGCACGATTTGCAATGCTGCCGTCACTATCGCGTCCCGTGTGTCGGGTTTCACCCTGGCTGTGATGACAGCCGTTTATCGCTGTAGTTTGTTACTCCCCGTGTGTCGAGCCCTTTAGGCTAACCTGACCCTAAAACTAACCTAAACTCAATTCACACCTTGGTCCTAAACCAAACCCCCAACCCACCAA